GGTAAGTTCCAGGAATAGATAAAGACTGAAGCTCAGCTAAGAATAAAAAATTATGAGATTTTAGTCTTTTTTATCGAAAAAATATTATAACAAAAGTCCAAATTCTTAGGTTCTGGAAATACAGCAGACACGGACAAAAATTCTTTGACCAAACTTTACTCAGGACCTGAATCTTCTCCTAGGCCACCTGCGCACTTCCTTATAAAATCCAGTTTTAGCAAAAGCCCAGCCACGTCAGTTTAGCAAGAACCCCACCCTCAATACCTGGGCAGATTCCTCACCACCAGCACCCCAGGCGCTGACCGCTACCCTGGCCTGCCCTCAGCACGATCCTGTCGGGTCCGTTCAGCCAGAGCCCCCCATGCTTCCCGGCAGTGACCTTCCTCCCCAGCCCACCCCCCTGCCTCCCGGCTACGAGCCCCCACTTGTCCTCATGGTGGAGAGCTGAGCCCAGTCTCTCCCCCACTGCAAGACCCCGTTTTCTCGTCCTCGAACCTACAGCAGTGGTCCTGGATCGAGTCTTCCTTACCACGCTTTAAGAAGCACCACTGAATAAACTTTTCTTTAACAACACACATAAGAAGAATGAAGAGAAAGACAAATGTTAATAGATTTATCCCACCGTGGAATAAATCCCTTTATCCTCCTCCTTACGCATTTCTGTATTTCCAAGTTTTCTTAGGGAGAGGTACACTAATCTCAAAATCTGAAAGTGTCACTTAGAAAAAGAATGCAACTCATCCAAAATTTGAACGTGGATACCAAGAGTGAGGCCTGTGTTCAACCTTCCAGCTCACGCTTCTCTCCAGGTGTCCACGCCCGCGCCCATCCTGCCTTTGACGGCGCCTCCTCCAGACCCCTCCCCGGGAACCCCCTCCTAACTGACCCCGACCCCCACTGCGGCTGCTCATCCCTCACCCCGCGTGGCCTCCGCACAGGGATCATCTCCTGAAACCCCCAGTCCACTCGGCCACGCTGTCTCCAGCACACCTGAGGGCAGGCTTTGAACGCTCGGCGCACCTCAGGCACCTCTGTGAGGCACACTCAACAGCAGCCATTGGATGATCAATGTAACTACAAAAATAAAAATTTCCGTAACCGAAAAGACAGTGTGGATCCAAATACACCCATACTTTCCCAGGAAAATTTACGTTTTAAAATATGTGTTAAGTTTACAATTTGGTCTGAGCACTTCCAGTTCCAGACGAGACAGACACATCCCATCTACTCCTCTCCACCCACCACACTTGAACACCCCAGGAAAATACAGGAAACAAGCCCTGGAAGACTCTGAAAGGAGGGAACAGAGGCCGACTGTCCAGGGACCTCAGGACTCAAGAAACAACCTGGCAGGGAGTTCCCTGGGTTGATTCTGGGTTTGTTCGTCCACTGTACATCCCGGTCTGAGTGCCAAAGAAGCTGGCAACCCAGAAACGCCAGTAGACATAGACCGAAAAACAAGGTGAGCCTGCTTTCTTCAGTCAAAGGACCGGGGGCGGGGGGGACCTTGCAGGACAGACTCTTTTGACATCATCACCCCTACTCCAACCACACACCAAAAAAAAAAGCACCTCATACACCTGGTTTTGTGCAGGGGCCGGCACCAGGACTACGTGAGTGGATCCTGACCACTGTCCCGGCCTGGCTGTGACAAGGGGGTGCCTCTCATCTCCTGGCCCACAGGAGTCTGCCAGGGGCTGTGTGCGAGACAGGAGCCCAGCTGTCATCCCAAGGCAGCACTCAGCAGGTGCCAGGAATGAGCACGGATTTTTAAATAGGAAGCAGTGTCTCACGAAGTAATACCCAAATGTCCAAAATATAATAAAAAATTATCAAAGCCCAGAAAAATCTCAGTTTGAATGAGAAAACACAACCAACAGAAACACCAACGAGATAACGAAGAAGTCAGAATTACCTAAAAAGGATTTTAAAGCAATTGTCACAAAAATACTTCAATGAGAAATTATGAATACTCTTGAAACAAATGAAAAAAATAGAAAGTCTTAGCAAAGAAACAGAAGATTTAAAGAAGAAACAAACAGAAGTTTC